AAATCATCAATGCGCAACAGACCACAGTTACCCTCATGTAGCTAGAATTCACAAATATTTGAGACATCCCCTCTTAAAATGCTTATAAACCCCTTTTTTAAAAGGTTATACTCCAAATATACATTAATTTACATTGTAAACCATTGTAGCGCTACAGTTTTTTTTTCCCTACTCTTGGAACAGCCAATCACCGCCAAGGGAAATTAATTGTGCCCTCAGATCAGCTGCGTTGTGAACACTAGTCTGTAGCGTATCAATTAGCATTGCGCCTAGGTATTTCAGCTTCCCAGCTGCATTTTCTTTCAGCTTTTTAAAGCATGTTTTATGAAATAAATGTACAATTAGGGGAATTTTCTACAATTACTTTACAAATAATAACCATGAATAGGCAGGGCTCCACTGTTTTCTACTTAAACATCACACAGTTACTTGAAACACTTTACTACGTCCATTCTGAGTATTTGCTTCGTTCAGGAAGATCATCAGAGGTTCACCGCCTCAATCCTATATTTCCCATTGAAATACCTATCAACCTATTGTTAAAGAGCCATCCAGTACAAGGATGGTGACAAAATAAAAGCTGGTTTCACAGAAATCTCTTAAGTTTTTGGCTCTAGTTGTTTTAAGTTAGCTAGAAGTTGGCTTTGGTTGGCCTCTCTTTTTGATTAATGTAAAGTTCGTGGTGTCTCCAGGTGAGATATGAGCTGCTTATCGCTACTTAACAGAACCTCGACTTAAAAATCCTGAGTTATCTCTTTGGAAACTGGCAAAAAAAATTTTTAAAGAAAAACTGAGTGACCAATGTTAAATGTAATTGGTAAATGTAAGGGTTGAGTTGTGTAGGAACGTCTATACTGCAGTGGTATAATATCCACTAGAATATGTCTTGGGGCAAAAAAAAGGTGGACCGCGACTCCAAGGTTCTCTGGCAGCAGCAGAGAGAGCGTGTCTGCGATTCCTTTCCATTTCCATTTGACCCTGTTGCTCACCAGGCGTTCCAGTCCTGGCATATTAGTCATCTTGCCAAGCCCTTGCCAAGGTAAACATGTTTACATGTTGACTGCACTGATCAAATCGGGCATTAGGGGTATTCCATCAGGACAGTGTTAAACCCACTGGCGGAAAAATAGTCTTAATCCAGTGCAGCTAAGATTAGCATGATGGCAGACGTCAGATGGCCCAGGGTGACCAGGTCGGCTCTTTGTCATTTCCATATTTGGGTCAGCAGTTCAAAGATGGCCTTTCAACTGTAATCAATGGTGACTGAGCGTTCTCGGTGGACTCGTGCTTTTCACTGCTGCCTGAGCCTGAAGAAACTTTTAGTTTGAGAAAGCATTAAAAAGGTCGATGTGATTGTTTTCCTCCTGCTACTCAGATTTACATCTCAGCTAATTAGTTTATTTCTAGTGTTAAATCCCAGTTCATTTTCAAGGTGGCATTAACTGTGCCACCTCGCTGCCCTTGCTGTCACCACCTAATCCTGTGGCACCCTGTGAACTTTGACCTCGGAGATAGGAAGGCCGATTTAGGCTTTTGACCTTTCCTCGGCTCCCTGTGAAACGTTCAGGCTTGTGGGCTAAGTAGGTTTTCTGTTGCCTTTCTTCACAAACAAGGTCTGCTGTCCTGCTATGTGACCTGCAATGTCGGCTTGCTTAGCGGACGCAAAAGGTGAGGACAGCGTCGGGACAGGACAAGGACAGCTGCTGAGCCGAAGTGGAAGCTCTGTATTAATTAACCTTTATGAGATGCAGCCCGGACTGTCGGAGGTGCCCCGTATCCACGGAAACCACGCTGACAGGGTTCAGAGCAGAGGTCTCCCAGGGCAGCACTGCTGACACTGTCATGGCAACTGGCACGACGTGCACCCCGGTGATACTGACTCTGCCCTCCTGACAATGGTGTGCTGTGACAGGTCCGCCCAATTTCCGAGCCAACCCGTAACGTCTGTGCAAACACACACGCATACGCACACACACCTGACAGCAGAGTACAACTTGTTTTATAGATGTATCCTTGCTTTGTTTCTATACCTGTTTTTGTTTTTTACCAGTGAACGTCCCTCACGCTAGTCAAGTCCTTTCATGTTTTTTGCTCTTGTATCCTAATACATAAGCTTTCTAGGCCCATTTGTTATTATGCATTATGCATGTTTTATATATCTCTCTCTTGAGCATTCAAACATAAACCCTGTTTGAATGCTCAAGTTTTCTGTGTCATGTCATGATGTATTCATCTGGTCCTCACCAGATAAGATAAATATAGAGGCTAGATGTCAGATTTCCGTTATATCGCTATTCCTCTAAGAACAATGTCAAAATGCGGAGCTGTCTGAAAGACTTGTCAAACTGCTTTTACCACTAATAGCATGGAGTTATCATCTTCTAAATTTCTCAGGGTTTTGGGCCACATGCCTGTTAAACTGCATTAAAGTTTGTTGAGAGTCATTTATTATTCTTTTAAGAAGAGAATTAGGGCCAATTGAAAAAAAGTTTAATGTCGAAATTCTGCTTTTCTTTTTTCAGTTGCTCTTCAGTACCAGTCCTGTCCAATTGCAATGCCTTGTTTCTTTTTTTTCTTTCTTTCAGTAAATGTTTCTTTAGCAGTTTTGTTACAGATTATATTTGCTGTCCTGATCCTGTTTCATGTCCTGGCTTGACATGAAACGAATATAAGCTGTCCTATGACCTCACATTTGACTCTAAGATACTTTATCATCACAAAGAACTCATAAGTTAATGTTGCCAAAGTTTTGCAGCTGTTAACTTAGTCTGGATCATTAGCCCTCCCCCACGATCTCTGACAACTAGAATGCGGTAGTTGTGCTGATATGTTTTCTTCAAACATGGCTCATTGTATCAGGACCAAGCAGACTTGTTTATGTCTAAGGATTTTGGCTAAAATGTTTTTCAGGACTCCTGTAGTTTTTTAACACAACTTTTCCAGGCTTAGCTGAGGTGCCATTACGTTCTTCGTCCAAGAAAAAAATAGCCTCATACCTGACTGTTCTTCTGCATAAGGTGCATGATTCCTCAGTGTATCGTGAACAGTCATTACTGCTTTGGTGTTTTCTGTGAAGGGGAACTTTTTCTAGAAGTTCTGCAGGTGACAAATCTAAGCTCAGGTGCCGTGATCTTCTTACAGCAGACGTAAGACGCTAAAGGACCGCATTCATCTGGAAATGCAGAACCTACACAGGTAGACTCTGAAAACAGGCAAGAGCCAGAGTCTCTCTATCTCTACTAAACACACTTGGTGCTGATGTCATAGAGGAATTTGAACTGAAGCTTAGAAAATGAACCGACACTGAACCCCTGCTCAGAAACGCATACTGAACATATATACATTTATATTCCAGCATGAATATTCTGACATCTGAGAAAAGGAGAAAAATACACTTTATTTTTTTTTTTTTTTAGTTTTTGGCTTGATTCAAGTTTTTTTAGTTATTGTTATTTTGGCCTATGTGTTACAGAGAAGAGGATTTCTCCCAGTAAATGATCCATAGGTGTTGAAACATGTTGCTAAATTAAGAAAGAAGATCTGGTCTTAAGCTATCATGAATTTTAGCCTATAGTTTACTTTTCTTTCTTTCTATTTTATTATTTGAATTAGTTGTTTTGTTGTTGTTGTTGTTTTTTTTTATAGTTTTTTTCCCTTTTTTTATTGTTTCTGTATGAAACAAAAAAAGGCTACAAGTATGTGTATTTTTTATTAGAAAGAGAAAATAAAGATTTCATCAATCTTAAGCTCTTTTTTTTTTCAAAAGAAATAAAGTGGAATTATCTTGTTCTAGATTGTGAACCAGAGATTAGTTGTAATCCAAACTCATTTAGAAACAACCCTCTAGCTTAACACTGGTAGAAAGCAGTGAAGCGTATGCTAACCTTAGCAGCTAACAGTTAGCAAATTGTGCTGCTCTCACAGCAATTATAAATCTTTGGTATACTTTCTGACTCAACACACAGTGCCCCCATAGTCGTCTCTCTCTAATATTAGTGGGTGTTGTCGGCCACCTTGGCAAGGACTCAGGAGCTGCTTCCTTATTTATTTCAATGTGAGTCTTAAATACCGAGGCAGAGAACCAAGGTTCTCCCCTTTATGTCCAGGCCTCAACATGAAAATTTACATTCATCTTAACTTGACGAAAAATCCTATGGAATTTCATATCCCTAGATCCAAATCTTGTTAGGTTACTAAATAATGAAAATCATTGTCGATGTCTTTTCTTTTAGATTGTGTTGGACAGCAAGCTGCCTAAACCAACTCTTTCCTAGATTTAAGCACATTCTCAATTTCTACAACCAGTGTGGATAGAATAAATCTGTATTCCATTTGATTTTTGATTTTATGTGTGTGTTTTGGCGAGCCTGAATTAACCTAATATTATGTCCAAGTTAAATTCACCTCAAATTTAATGTCCTGGTACATCAAATCTTCCAAGTGAACCTTGTTGTAGGTCCTCATTCTAAAGCTTATTGGTGTGTTTAAGCCTGAGCGCTTAACTGCTTGCTGGTGTATACGTGGGTGGGTGGTTGGCTTTTGCTCCACTGAGACCGTGGGTTGCGTTGTGTGAGATGTAACTCAAGTGCATAAGAAGGCAGGAGGTGGTAGAGAGAGATAATCCGCTGAAATGACAACCTGCATAAAGAATTATGCACAGCTCTCACAAGGCCCTTCACTTGTGAAAGACGCTGCCGGGAGAGGCTTGCTGCTCAAGACCTGAATGTTTTCAAGGTAGTGGGCTTGAATTTTCAATTCGGATCTAATCAAGCCTAATCTGTTGGGTGGCTGTGAGAGAAGAGTGCAGAGAGGAGAAGGAGCCGTGTGCAGTCAGTCTGAAATGTTGCTAAGTAACAGAGATGGCAGACAAGGTGGGGAAATGAATGTGATATAGTGCACTGCAAATCCTTGCTTCTCACACGATTTCTTATTTTTCTCCTCTTTTCCCTCCCCCCCTCCGACCACCTTTCCCTCCCTCTTTTTCCCTCTCCCTCCTGTAGGTCACCCTGCGACACACTGTGAGATCTGCAAAGCATAAAGGCGCCACTGACAGAGCAACAGCCAGGCTGAAGGACAGACACGCTGGATATCAACAACGATGGATTACGGCAACATCTCTGTGATAAAATCCCACTGACTTCGCCACTGCCACTCATGTGAGCGTGAAGGTGGGCCTTCTGGGATCCTGTAGCAGTTAAAGGCGTACAACAATGCCTTGGAGGCTCTCCTGCACCAGATTCCCTCCAGCCATGGTGGCTGTTTCACCACACTAAGCCAACCACAGAGAGGGATCACATACAGCCAGTGCACCCTTAATTAAACCTTTATACTCACTCTTTGCAACATCACAACCTCTTTTTTGGTTTCTAACAAGTGCGTGCAACTGCCAGCCAGATGACTTGGACAGCTATCATTTACCAGTAGCATTGCTGAGCTATAAGAAGGGATCTGAGTATTGAACATGACTCATGGGGAGGAGCCTGGCCCTGAGACACACAAGGATTCAGCTGTTTTAACTTATCTGGAAGGTTTACTGATGCATCCAGTGGTGGCCGGGCCTGGGGCCACGGCAGGTGGGAGATCCGAGGCTTCCAACAGCAATCAGGAGCAGGGCAATAAAGTGGGTGGGCCTTTACCACTACCAAACCATGACCCAATGGTACCCAAGGCTGGAACCAATGGGCCCAAGCTAGGTTCTTCGCAACACCTAAAGAAGGCCCGGTTGCTGCGCTCTGGAGCATGGAATGATCCAGGGAACCAGAGAATGAGTTCACCTCCAGTAGAGCTGAATGGCCAAGTGGGAACCTTGCAAAATGGTGCCCTGGAGGGATCTCCCCATTCTGGAGAGAGCACCTTGTTGGCGTCTTTGCTTCAGTCATTCAGCTCAAGGCTTCAGAGTGTAGCAATGTCTCAGCACTCTAATAAGCCCACTGGTGAGTGTTCTTCTCCGTCCAAGGCACCAGCTACAGATAAAGAGCCACTACCTGTTTACGGCACAGCCTCCAGTCGCCTTAAAGGCCTCATGAGGAAGAGCAAACTTCAGAACCACAACAACACCCCTTACAGCCGCCGGGGCCACAGTCAGGACAGGCCGCCAGAGTCCCCCAGGTCGGCACACAGCGCCACGCCTCCTGCAGCTCCCGCCGCGACCGACTCTGTGTCCTGTGCAGAACGTCTGAAGGCCGTGGCCAACATGGTTAAAATCCGTTCTAGTCCCGCACCCTCACCCAAGCCCAGCGTAGCTTGCAGTCAACTCGCCCTCCTGCTGTCCAGTGAAGCTCACCTCCAGCAATACTCCAGAGAGCATGCCCTCAAAGCTCAGCTCTCAGGAAGATCTGCCAGTGAAAGACTGGCCGCCATGGCAAACCAGCAGCATGGTCAGGACAAAAGGCCACCAAGTGTGGGGGTGTCTTCAGACACAGTAAGCTCCTTATCGACTCAAAACGGAATGACGACAGCCACAATAACAACGACACTCCCTCGAACGGCTGCCACCAATCCTCAGAGCCCCTCGCTGCAGAGAGGCCACAGCCAAAACTCTCCGCCCACTCCCCCACACGCTCCAAGCCTGCCTACCAGGGAGAAGCGAGGCTTTGACACACGTCCAACCCGCCCACCCCAAACGTGCAGCAGCTTGCTCCTGCTGCTGCTGAACAACCACAATAACCAGAAGCAACTGACCAAGAATGGGCACCTGGAGGACATCAGTGGACTTCTGCCACCAAGTGGCTCCTCTTCAGTCACATCAGACAGCGAGTGCTCTGTCCATGAGAGGAGCAACACCAAGGACAGCAGTGATGCTGAGAGCTCCTACTCCAGTTGTTCTCCCATTGACCTCTCGATGAGAGGCCGCAGCAGTTTACAGGACACAGGGCCCAAAAGTACACCCCCTTCCTCCTCCTCCAGCTCCATGTTCTCTTCTACCACCGCGTTCTCCTCACCCCCAGTAACAATATCTCCTCAAGCTCCTATCCAGCCTCCCACTACATCTTTTTCTCCTTCCTCTATGGCTGTTTCTTCTGTTTCATATCCAATATCGTCATCTTCCTCCTCCTTTTCTACTTCCTCCTTGGACAAATTGACCGAATCCTTACTAAACAAATGGAAGCCAGAGCCATCTAGATTAACTGTGTCCAAGAACAAAGAGCCTGAAATGAACCCAGACTTAAAATCCCACCCCAAGGTCACACTCATGCAACTTCTTCTTGAGCGCAGAAATAATGAGATGGCTAATAAGAGCACAGGCAGACAAGACTCGCCCCTTGATATAACTATGGCCAACATGTCACGAAATCAACAAAAGGGGTCAGTTACTTGGGAAGAGGGTCCAACAAAGAGCCCAATTGAAAGGCCTGCAGGCCCGTCCCAGTCCGTCTACTCGCTTAGTCGTGACACAGGTGCTGCACAGTCCCCATATTCATACCCCTCTCCCCATGTCCAGTCCAGTCCACTTGATTTGTGTAAGTCTAAGACCTTCCCTGCTGACAAAGCGTCAGAGCCTGCCTTCAGTGCCAGTAAACTGTTACAAAATCTGGCGCAGTGTGGCACGACTTCCCCACCCCCACCTATCTCCTCTGGAAAAGGGGCAAGCCAGGAACTCAATGACAGCAGGCCCCATGCTCTGTTGGAAAGACTCAATACTCCTGTCAACAGGACCACCCCTACCCCGCTTTCCGATGGAGCTTCAGGCAGTAGCACACCTTTCAGTCGTAAGGAACCTTCCCCGCCTTCCTCACAAATTGAGAACCTCTTGGAGAGACGTACTGTGCTGCAGCTACTTCTAGGCACCGGTTCAACTGGTGCTACAGCTGGCCGCAAAGAAAGACCCAGTGGAAGTGGCCACGGGACTGCTGAAATGGAGGGCGGCTGCTTCGAGAGGAGCCCTACTGCCTCCATCCTCTGTGACAGCTCTAATGGGTCCCCTTTGGATGTCAAAATAAAATCAGAGCTTACGGAGGATGTAGGGTCATCCCTTACCAAGTCGGAGGACTTGAGCGGCAAAAAGAGACTGAGTTCCTACGGGAAGAATAGCCCGCTCTTCGATTCTCAGCAAGACCTGAAGACGGAACCAAGGCCTGCAGAGTTCATAGCGAAATATGGCCTCCTCAGCCAGCTGCTTAAACAACAGACCACTACCTATTACTCCAGTGCTGCAACGATGCAGCCTGAGCCACAATCCAGACAAGTCAAAGAGGAGCATAGGGACTATCCAAACCCCAGTCCTAAAAGGAGACGGCTCTGCTCCGAACATACAGACAGCTTGAACAGCATCAGCTCTCCAAGAGCAGTGGACAGTGGTAACGCAAATATGTCTGCCTCGTCTACTGTTCAGGCAGACCCTGAGCAGCAGAGGAGTCTAAAAGAGGAGGAGCTTCCACCAAGAAGCCCTATGAGTGAAACCCTTACCAGAGAGAGTCGCGGCTTCAACGTGTTGAAACAGCTGCTGCTCTCCGACAACTGTCTGAAGGAACTGTCCCAGCAGCCGCGACAGGGACCCAGTCCCTCTATCCTGCAGACCACTGGCAAAGCCAATGGTAACATTCTCAGTCAGCCTACACAAAATCACAACTTCCTCCACCTGCCTAGCTGGCACACCCATGGTTCCCTCAACTCAGGGCTTCCAAATCATATAAGACCACTGCCCACCCCTCCTGAAGGCAACAACCCCATCCGCCCAGCCTCATGGATCCGCCAACCGGTTCCATGGCCCGCCACGCAAAAACGAGAGCCCCCTACTTTAATCAAACAGGAGCCTGAGAGCCCCATTCGATGGAGCAGTCAGGAAAACGATGGCATGGACGAGGGTTGTGAGTCGAACCCGGACTCCCCGCGGCTTTCACGTTCCAACCCGATCCTGTACTACATGTTGCAGAAGGGCAACATCCAGCTGAGGAAAGAGGCACCGGACCAGGCCGAAGGAGCCCGGCCCGTGGTCAGAGTCAAAGAGGAGCCTGTCAGTGACATGCACACCTATGAACGCAGCCTGAGCTCCACCCCTCAATCACCAACCCACAATGACAAGCACAGCCATGAGGGCCAGGGGTTGAGCCAGTCGTCCCAGTAAACAGTTGTATCAACTACAAAAACCTACAAAGTGGAATCAAGTCCATTGACTCCTTCTTGTTTTCATTTTTTGTGTACCTTGCCAAATTGGTTTGATGAAAAAAAAAGACTTTTTCACTTTTTTTGTTTTTGATTTGATTTTAAAAAAAAAAATCTATTGCTGTTTCAATTTTAAATAGCTTCAACGTGGAATGGTAAAAAAAAAAAAGTGGTCCGTCTTAGCCTAACTGATCCAAAAACGTCTTTTTAATTTTTTTTTTAGCCCCTACACATCCACCATTATTTTGCACTCATTAATTAATGTAAAGTCCCCGTTTATTATATTTTATGTTACACATTTAATTTATCACTAAAGTGTACACATAACGGTTTTTCCTGTGTTCTGGATGTTGCCTCGCATCAAACATTTAGAGAACATTTCAGGCAACATTTATAATTGATGATTTCAACAAACAAAAACAAAAAAACGTTTGTGCTCAGCTCGGTGGATAGATTTTATTTTCTCGATCAGAACATCTGTCAGAAATATAAAGTCCTATTAATTTCGGATGGGATTTCAGACAAAGCCATTCTCAGACAGTTACAGTGGTCTAATTAAAACGACGCACACGATAGATTCACACTGCAGTACCTACCCTCCGTTCCAGGTCGCGCCACTATGAACGCTTTTGTCTTGCTTTTCCTCAGAATTCAGGGCTGTGGGGAAAAGACTTCATCAGTGGAGATTCACTCACTGTGTTCTGCTTTTACTCTTCTTTCTTTTTTTTTTCTTCTTTTTTTTCGTGCTGAGCCTTTAAGGGCGAGATTCGACAGTGCAAATTCAGGGTAATGTGTTTGCAGATTGTGCAGTTCTGAGCAGATGGGTCAACATGAGAGCGTGTGGCACTTACAGTTGAGCAACGCTGTGTAAACGGGTTTCTGGAGCAACAGTAAAAAAAAAAAAAAAAGAGGCTGCTTTGTCTGACTGACTTATCTTGCCATCCTGATAAAAAAAAAGAAAAGAAAGAGAGAGAGAGACAGATCCACACAGAAAGAAGTTTGAGTGTGATGCACATGGCGCTTTTCTTTTCATGCAATATAAAAGACTACCTGGAGTGTGCACTATCGAAACTGAGCCCTCGGTGTCTATTTTTTTTTTTTTTAAGTATAATTTAACAGCATGAAATGGGGGCGGGGGAAAAAAAATCCTATCAGTATTGTTATCTTTTCTGAATTTGGTAATTTGTGATTTTTCTTTGTCATAATTTCTTAACCGTTGTGCTCTGCATCACATGTTTTATTTCGGTGGCGATCTCTCTTACTCATAACACGTCGAAAAGAATTGCATGTTGATGAAGAGAAGACCACAGGTACTCTATTTGTTTTCAGAGCAGCTGGATACACGCGCTCAACCCGCCCTCCAATCACCGAGACTCCTTTTGTCTTAAAGGGTATCTGGTATCTAGCTTCTTTACTTTTTCAATCGTACTGTAATCTTTCCGGTTGAGTTCACTTTGCTTTGTTCATTTAGTCTTGTGGTCTTTTTAATACATATACTTCTGACATACGTCTTCAATTATTACTACGTTTTCACGATGGTTAAATAAATTGTGTAAATAGTACTTTCAGTATGGAAGATGACTATTTTGTAATGTTTAAAAAAAAAAACAAAGAAAAAAGAAAAAGATATTGCCCTAGTTTTTAATGCCCTGAAATGTAAATACTGATTATATGCGTACAAGTGTACATACGAAGGCAGAGGATACTATGCCCATCTTTTTTTTCTTTTTTTTTTTTTCTTTTTTTTTTTGGTTGGTTTGTTCTTTGCATGTGTCTCTATGTGGTAAATGATAATCTATCCTGCGCTGTGTTGTGTAATAATGTCTGACTCTCCTCACTGCTGCCTGTTGCATGCAGACGCATGGGAACTACCTGTGTATCCCTACTGGTGATGGGGGAAAATGTCAAGTCTTAAAATAGGTCTTCTTTTTTTTCTTTTCTTTTTTTTTTTCCTGAATCAAAGAGCAAAAAGGTCGGCTTTTATGAGCAGCCCCTTAACAGCAGACTGTTGGAACAAGCAGATGGGGAAGGGGGGAGGGGGGGAGGTGTGAAAAATAAATGTGGATTGAATATTTTTGTGATTTTTATTTTTATTTTTTCTTTCTTTCCTGTTACTGGTTAACAAAAAGCTCTGTGAATGAGCATGGGGCTCTAGTTGGGGGATTGACGTACAATCATAGATCTGCATTGTGCATCTAAGAAATACATTTGTAGCAGCAAATATATCTATATATATAAATATATATATATAAAATGATGGGTTGTTTTTTTTTCATGTGAAGATCTGAAATGATATTTCATTTTTTTATGTTTTCATTTTTTGGTGTTCATTTGCACTGATATCTTCAAAAATAAAGTACTAAAATGCATGAGCTGTTATGAATGGGTTCCTGTTTTTCCACTTTTGCTCTCCTCCAAGTTCTTTTCTAAAAACATTTGGTAAAGCTTGAGCACAAATCCGAAATTATTGCAGTTTTTTTTATTTTGTGGAGAAAAGAATAAATTCAGAGAGAATTGCTTGATGTGGACATGATTTGGTACTGGGATCACTAGAACGAGCACCAGAGAGCATGTGTGCTGGCAGAACTATGGTTTATAACTGTTAGTTGGCATATCTGTCAGTTAAAACTGAAAATGAGCGTCTCTATGAACTAATCAGCTTTAGCAACATCTGAGTGAGTTTGTTAGATGTCACATAATGCCTTTGCCTGATTAAGGGTGAATGGTCACCTTATGTAGCTGCAGTAAAAGTGGAGCCAGTGACTTTCATTGTTTCGGCTAACCCTGGGCTGGTCTGAGATTCTGACTGTAAGCTAACCTTGAGTAAATATATAACACTCTCACCAGTATTTAAGCGTTTCCTACAAATATTTGAAACAAATTTGCATATGATTATGTAGTATTTTTAAAAATGAAAAGCATAACAATTGTTAATGCAGTGAAAAGAAAATAATTGTGACATAACATTTTAAAGTATACACTCTGGCAAAAGAAAGTTAATTTTTTAGTAGCGGCATTTCTGCTCTGTACTTTAACAAGTAAGGCAGCTTGTCGGGCTGTCTGCTGCTGTAGCCAGACCGCAGTCAGAATCCCCTCTCCAAGCTAAATTAGGGTTGCACCAATACGAGGGAAGATTCCCTCAACTCCCAGTGTTCTCTCTAAAAGTCCTAACAGATTCAGTCATCTACATAAACAACTACTGGTCTGCCTTTCAGCCGTATTACATCCCCATCAAACAGTTCCTTCCTAGTTCTTTGAACAACTGGATCTTCTGCCTTAGTAACGCATACCTCAAAAGACTAAATTATGACTATGTTTTGTATATGCAGCCATTTTTGATCCTTCTGGTTTTTTTAGCATCAAGTCTGCACAGATGGGATTTGGCATAAGTTTTGTTGTTTTGCCCTTTAAACTGCTATTGCTCCGTTAAATACACAGAGTATTACTGAATAACTGCCAGATACTGAAAGTTGCTTTTGGAGAAAGAGCAAGAAACATCAACTCACTGTACATTTTGAAGAGTTATAACTTCATTTCTTCAAATTGGTGAAGCCCTTCTGCTCCCCCCTTATATTCAACCTGTTGCTTTTGAATTCTATGGCATGAGCCCTCTGTTAATTTCACTTAAAAATCACTTTTAAAGTGAAGCTAAGGTAGCTTCACTTTAAAAGCTACCACAACTCATTGTGTTGTAATCGAGTACAAGACGAGGAGACATGGGGGTCTACATTACCAATAAGGGTCCTCACAAAGACAGGAAAAAGATGGCCTTCATGCAGGTAAGCAGCTAATCGATGGAGTAAGATAACTGCCAAAAAGATGTGTGCGAAATTATGCACACGTCTTTTTGACAGTTCCTACGTAGAACTTCCATGTTGGAGCTGGCTGCATCAATCCACCTGATCAGCTCCAGTTCCGTTGAGAGAGGAGTAAACATTTTCATTTTGTGACAGTTCTGCCTCTTCCACAAAGCCTTCTTCCAGGTCTTGTAGTGTTTTGGAAACGATCACTGGGGACTCACAGCTGAGCAATCTCATACGTTGACGCCTGACAACTTCCATGGTGATTCAGACATTGTTCGGCTGAGAGGATAGGAATAAATGTCAGTTGTTTTTTTTTTGTGAGGTTGTAGAAAATGAACACCTGTTAAATTAGTGTTGAATTTCACCCGTATTACTGTTTTAGTTGGAGCCGCTGTGAAAAGTTGAAAGATTTTTCCACCCTGCTGAGGATTAGCCATATTAGCCTGTAAAAGGAGCCTTAATGGAGTATGATGTGTGCGCGGCACATCTTTTTGACAGTTATGTTGCTCCACAGTTCTGAGAAAAAACACAGCTGCAAACATTTGTGACACTAGTGTAGTTGCCTGATATCCACTAATACAGTTTTCCGTTTGAGTTTTTTTAAGTTTGTAAAATCAGCTGATCTGGTGACGTCATTGACTGTCCACCACTCTGATTTTTTTTCCACTTTGTCCAATTATTATGAGTTTTTAAAAATGTTAACTCATTGTGTTGTGACAGTTACTGTCGCTACAGGTATGGAAGCTAATGCTGATAACAGCACTCTCTACTGCACTTTAAAAAAATATCCAAAATATCACATGTGCTTTTAACTGGACGCTCATTTGCATATTTAGACGTGTTTTTATGAAGTTAAACCATAAATGGTGATTCCTCATCATTCTTTCAATTGTTGCTTCTATTTTATTGTATTTTTATTTTTCAAAATAAAGCCAGAATATTCAGTTATTTATTTCTTTCTTTCTTTCTTTCTTTCTTTCTTTATTTATTTATTTATTTATTTATTTATTTATTTATTTATTTATTTCACCGTGGGTCGTATATGTGCCTGTTCCTGTGTGTGTGGTTTTACTCCTCCATCGAATTTCAATAAACCAAAGCAACCATTAGGGAAATTGAGCACCGCCATCAAAGACTCTGGCCTCATATTAAAAGTTATTATTATTTTTAAAAGGACATCAAAGCCAAACAGCACTTCCTGTAATCAAACACCGCCCTATTAAAGTGAAGTGAGAGGATGTCCTGTATTTGCCCCCCCCCCCCCCCCCCAAAAAAAAAAAAAAAAAAACACCTTCCGTCGCCCCCGCCGGCTCGCATGCCTCC